ATGCATCCATAATCTATACAGCTAAGGAAGCTGAACTGCCTCGTGAATGGTGACAGAACACTTCCTTTGATTAATTGCAAGAGGAATTTTAGAGTGCACCAACTTTCCTGAGAGCACTGTTGGCCTGCACTGGATTCTAGATGTAGCTTATTCTGACATAAGCTGCTTTACAGAAAGGGGCTTGCACTCTATATCTAATACAGCTCATGCATTCGATAATGCACTACAAAAATTCCCTTCTCCCTAAGCCAAAGTTTCTTTGCAGGTAAGAAGTAGCACAGGAATATTTACATTTCAACTACGAAGGTTGCAATGTTACAGAAAAAAACAAAAACCGGTTTGAAAGCATGTCTTCAAAGAAATCACCATATTTCAGCTTGTTGGCAATTTCAGCAAGAAAGGAAAGAAACACAGCAGGGGGGAAAAAAGTTGAGCTTGAATTTCACGTCTCTGGCCTAAGTTTACACACCATCACTTTAGCTCGTTTTAAACAGAGTGGTGACATTTTATGACTTTTTGAAGGTGCAGATTTCCAGTGTCTGCCACTTTCCAAGGTGAAATTACATATTAAAAAAATCTCTGAAAGAACACTGAAGTTTTTCCCAATTTTTCTCCTAAATTAAAGTCTTGAATCCTTCCAAAGCTCCAGACGAAAATAGCAGTTGGCATCTCATGGAACATTATACTGTCACAGACTTCTGCACAGGTTGTTTAACTTTAATTGTTACTTTCATTTCTCATGGAGGCAGAGGAAGGAAAAAAATATTTTTCCTTTTTTCTTTTTTTTTTTTCTTGTAAAGGAAACTCCAGAACAAGAAATGTGTTGTTTTTATCCAGTACTTTATGAAGTACTAGCTCTTAAAAACATTCAACACATCACAGAAAATTTTTGAGTCACATCTCCCAAAGTACTGGAAGCGTGTTTTCTGAAAGACTTTGTGGCTTTCAAATATTCAAATTTTAATAATAACTAGTGAGACTAGTTATAGTACACTATGTAGAAGTAATACTCACCCTTCTGCAGATGCTTTATTGTTACCACAAATAAACATTCCCCGGACTCTCAATTTGATATAGACACTGGGGACAAACAAAGAATTACCTTTAATTTTTTATAAATTGCATAAAGAATCTGAATGTGCCAACCCCTAAAAAAAATATTAACCTACCTATGAGAAAAACCCTTCACTTAGATGTGAAGATTACACTAAATGTGCTGGTAAAAATTCTTCACTGAAATCTGTATTAGTAAGAACCAAACTCACAATAGCTGAAACTAGAGTTGCTAAACAAGCAAAGACAAACCTATCCTGCTAGAATTAAATTACGGTCTCCAAACTGTTAAATGCTTCTCATCAGAGAGAACAAGAATCTGAACTTCCAGCTTTAAAAATGCAAAAAACTTTTTCTCTTAAAATCAGTGTGGTGCTTTGTAAGTTAGAAGTAAGTATCCCGAGTAATGTACAAGTTTGTTATCCCATTCCTGCCGCACATCTGTGCACGCACTGCTTTTCTTTCCTGTATGAATAACAATTTTGGAATCACCACGAAGACCCGGCAATAAATAAATGTGCGTGATGCCACAACGCACCGATTTCTTTATCCAAGCACACGTTTGTTGCTCACGGACGGCTCAGCCCAGTACCCTCCTTCGCACCTCCCCAGACACCCTAGCTTTAAACAGCGTTTCGTATCGCCGTGCTTGACGACATTAGACACAAAACCCCAGAATTTTCAGCAATCTGTGAACTTTCCTGGGGCGCTCTGGAAGATCGGGATCGCACGATTAGGAAGTTCGCCGGAGCGGCCGACAGACTGAGTTCCCCCCTGGCTCCTCCTGAGCTCCCTTCCTGAGCCTGGAGCGCCCCAAAGCCGGGGCGGGAGCCCCCAGCCCAGCCCCGCCGTCCCGCGGGTGCGGGCGGGCCGCCCGGGG